TTACCCGATCACAAATTGTTGCAGCATTACTTTTAATGGCATCCAGTGTGCTCAAATTACAGCCAACAACGGCTATCAGACAAAAGCGAAGTATATGTACTATAAATAAATTGTGGCAATACTTCTTATGACTAATTGAGCAATAATTATGCTAATCAATCTAGACTCATTATTATTGACCAACAAAAAATTGTTTTCTTTTCAAAAATTTGTCATCGGGCGATAATTTAACGTAAATACTACGTTGTCCCCATCATCCAGTACGAAATTAGATCATTTTCAGCTGCTTAATTAGGCGCGCACCATTCGTTTTATTGTCCTACATGTCTGCCATCAGAGCGTACAAACGCATCGTAAACAGCAATTTTTATTTGAATTAATTAATTCTCGGAATTGTATATTTTATGTTTATAACTTTCGCAGATGGAGCTCAATATGATTATGATAATTAATTAGGTTTAGAGACATTTTTTATTTATTTTTAAAATATAAATCTCGGATGGAAATACATTGCAGATGTACAAGCAAAAATCCGCTCGATTCTAGAAAGGAAAGAAAACTGATTGCCAGATTTAGGAACGTTCGTGTTCTTCCTTAGATACCTCGAACAGATTTTTGCTGTCACATTTGGGCACCAAAATATCTAGTGACTAGAAGAAGAATCAAACCTTGGTCGAAAAGTTGCGGCAGAAAAGGTCCTCCGACTTGCGCAATCTACAAATGAGAATCCAAGACGAAATGGAAAGAATTTCGTGACTAACTCGATTGGCAATGGATGTTGTCCATCGGTTTGGTGAGGAGCAGACCAACTTAATTCTGAATCGGACCAAATAATGATCATCGCCATCAAAAATGATGTAACTCACCCTGCACGAATTCTATTTACAAGTTGGTTTTTCATCCCTTTGGGGTTTGTTATGTACCTACTTTATTTTCCATGTTTGCTTCTTTAACTTTCTGATCTGTTGTATTGATCTACTTGTGTGTAAGTTCAAGAACTTCAAAATGCCCTTCAAGGTTTCCAATCAATATTGGGTTGATTTCGTTGTTGCAAGTATCTTTACTGATTATAGTAGGACTTTTGTTTGTGAGATACTGGTTAGTGTCGAGTCTCTTCACCTCTACAAATATGTTGAAGTTTACTTTGTATATTTCAGACATTGCTAGAATTTCACGCTTGTTCCATATCTGCCAGTTTGTCTCATCTTGTAGCAATAGCTTCTCCTACTTTTGAGTGCTGGATCTGTGGTCACAATATATGGTTCAGTTTCACTCCAGTTCTCTTCTATGTAGCTGACTGCATTTGCTCTCAGTTCTATGTGGTAATCCTGCGTTTTATGCAGATGATGACTAACTGCGCGGAACAGGCAATTTCCATCTCCTCTGTTTTCAATAACCTCATTCCATCTTCTCAGGTGCCAGATTTTGTTCCACTGTCTATCACCACTATCATTTGACACCATTTTAAATTTAACCGGAGATTAAATTTTTAACCGGAATTTTTAATCGTGGATTAAATTCCAAGTTGCTGTCAAATGATGTGAGATCGGTTTCCCTCCTCTAAAATTAACCGTTTAGGTTTTACAGCCTGTCAAAGTAGCAAAAAAGTCAATTTTCAACTGTCAATATTTCCAAAACTGTTGAACTTCGGGATTAAAATCTAGTACCAAAATGTATGGAATTAAAAACCCTCCAAAATGATGTAGGTATCACCCCTTCCCATTTAAGATTTTCTAGAGGGTGGCTGTGGCGGCTGGGGGGTTGGAAGGGGGGAGGTGAATTTTGCATAAAACTCATCCCCCCTCAAATTATTATAATTGACGTGTTTCAGGAATTTTTTCGAAAGTTTTCAACTCCCAGATAATAGGGGTGGTAAGTTGTAAGTGAATGAACACCTTGTATGTAAAGAAGAGTAGAGGGTTAATGACTAAGCCTTCAGAGAGGTAAGGTAGAAATTCTCTTGTACTATAGTGATGGAAAGTTTATGAAGAAGCCGCCCAAGTGGTACCTTGTCAGAAGCTTTTCCAATATCCAGGTAAATACTCCAACAGACTGGCCAGTCATCTCAGATACCAGGACTTTCTCCATGCATTTGCAAAGAGTACTTGTCAAGCTAATGAGCTTATAGTTATCAGGCAGGTATTTGTTGCCTTACTTGTAGATATGCTCTAGAATTTCATTCTTCCATTCCCTTAGTAGTTTTTACCCTGGCTAAGAAGATTTGTTCATCATGGCTCATAGAACTGCAGCACACTTGGTCAGAAAAATGGCAGAAATTTCATCCTCTTCTAGACTAGAGTCTGGATTCAGTGATTGGAGTGCAGTCTCCAATTACTCGAGTGTAAAAGTTACAATTTCAAGTGAACTAGCACAGAATGTATCAGGATCCAAGTTGGGCATATAGCTTAGATCTTTTCTTGTAAAAATACTCTAAAACTGTTAGGCAAACAAATTGGCAACTTCTTTCTCATCATTAAGGGCGCAGTTAGTGGTTACATCCCTAAGTTGAATCAAGAGATCTGTTTAGGAATAAAACTGCTTATCAGAAGCTCAGAAGTTCCTATTTCCTTATAGACTGTTTTATCTTGGCTTTGAGGAAGTTATTTTGGTTCCTGTAGTTCAAGTTGTCATTTTCTGAGTTGATTTCCAATTTCTTGGGCCACAAGATTCTCTTTTTTTCAATGTGTTTCAAAAAAAGGCTTCTGGGGATTGACAATCTTCAGCTTGAATGTAATAAAAGAGCTGATTGTAAATGACAGAATGCCCATGACCCGCTCATAGTTAGCAGTGATGCTAGAGAATTCTTGCTGTAGATGCGTGTTAATAAATTCGTAGTCTGCGGACCAAAATCTCCTCTTGTATATTTGAAGTGTTAGTTTTGGAGTAACCTGGATTTGGGATTTGGCTGTTAAGACTACATAGTCACTTAGTCCAATTGGTGAATGTTATGATATTTCGTTTGAGCTGGTGGAGAAAATACTTGAAGGTAGTCTAGGGTTTCAATATCTTAGAGGCCGGAGTACCGCCCCAAGCAATGGTGGCTTCCCAAAGTTGTTGGAAGAGATATTTGGCCAACGACGTCACAGGAGAAATCGAATTCAGTGGATCGGAAATTCTTCTAACAACTTGAATAAAAATATTTCGCTTTGGGCAAACTTGATGAAGAGGTATACATGATACAGATAAAGAAGCAAATTAGAACCTAAGAAATTATGTGCTGTCTTTTTGTATTGAGATTTTGATTTTTGGATTCAGAGCGTGCATTAGAGCCTTGTTGAATTTACTAACATTTTCCTACCCTGACGAGAGAATATCCTAACAAATTGAAATAATCAATCTAGAGATATTGGCTCAAAAACAACTATAGCTGAGTAGCTTCCCGTATGGGACCTCAGTACCTGCTGGGAAACTGGCTAACTAACAAAAAAAAATCTTCAGTATTGAATATAGATTGATTGAATGTTGTGTGTGTAATTGAATTTTTAGCACAAGAACAGGGGCTAGCGAAACGGCGAACTGCAAAAGAATTTGCTAATTTGCCAAACTTGACGGAAATAATGATAAACAAGTTGGTGACATTTTTTTTTTGCTATATGGGCATGTGTAGTATTTTGAAATAGAAAAAAATCCGGCAACATTGCAAAATGATAGATGTGGAGAGGCGTGATTATTCAGAGGTATGATTCTATTGGTTAGAGTCTGAAGGACAGCAGGCAGTGGCGTGGTTATTGGCGAAACTAAAGAATTTTTTTTTCTAATAATTTTATTGGTGTTTCCGGTGCCACTGAACCGAAAGACATGGCTGTCATCAGGTGGTGTCAGTGAATATTTTTAGGTCACGTCCCACTTTTCTTCCCCCTTTCGTCTCTACCAAGTTACCACTTGCCAGACTATACCTAATTTAAACTTCTATTGACTTAAATTATTGAATTAATGACTCACAATTATTATAGAAATTACACAGTATGTTTCGATTTTTGAGGAATGTTAGATCGAGGGTTTCTCTGCCGTGCTGTTTTCCCTCGTTAGTTCCAGGATGAGTACTTTAATACTTTAATAATAAAGTAGACTTTTCACAAATTTTGCGTTTCCTTTACATATCACAACCTCCCTTAAATTTCCCTAATGCTATGTCGGGCGCATGTCCAGTAAGTAAAATTGAGTAAGTTTCCACAACGTAGGTCCTATTTGTTTTTCATTTCATTTTTCAGAAGATTTGTTGTTTAAAAGGTAATCAAAATTCTCATCTTTCAATCTTACTGAGCGAACCCGGGTATGACTACACTATTGGCTTTCAAACTCCTCATATCAGGTTGGCAAATAATGATAGTAAGTAGGTGTTTCACTTTTGCTTCAGTTAAATTGAAAAACAGACATAGTGGCGGCGCTTAAATGCACGGGGCCCCTAAGCAAATATCACAATAATTGGAAAAGGTGTATAGCAAACCGAATTTAAAAGTGACTTTGATCACCTGCAAGTGATAATATCCATGATAGAGAAAGTTGTAGAATACAACAAACTATTGATATTAATATTTATGGACTTTGAGAAAGCTTTTGACTCAGATCCAGCATAGCTCCATGTTAAAGGCTCCTACAGGGTGCAGTATTGACTATAAATACACAACCCTTTTTCAGAATATTTATAATAATGCAACAGTTGCAGTCAGAATGTATCATGGCGACACCAACAAATTCCTTGAAGAAAGGTATTGGACAAGGAGACACCATCTCTCCTAAACTATTTACTGCTTTGTTATAGAGCGCCATGAAAAACAATTGGGAAAATATCCTAGTAAACATCAATGAGGTTTGCAGACGACATAGTCCTTATTGCAGACCTCCATAGTTCTTGTGAACGAGGAACGAGTTGGCATTGAAATCAATTTCTCCAAAACACAATTCATGAACAACCTTGTAATACTGGCCAAAAACATTTCAACGTATGACAAGCAAATAGAATAATATTTAAGTGGAATGTCTTTACATCAGATATTCCCATGTGCTTGAAGAGGAAGGTTTTGGAACAATGTGTGCTTCCGGTTCTAACATATAAAGCAGAAACATTGACTCTAACCAGAAAAGTTCTAAACAAAATCCAAGTGGCTCAGATGGTGGGATCAATGTTGAATATATCCCTCAGAATCAGAAACAAAGTTTTCAATCATATCATCAGGGAAAAAACCGGGGTTATGGACGCAGTTGAAAGAATTACAACACTGAAATGGACCTGGGCAGTTCATGTTGCCACAGTCAGAGATGTGAGATGGACTAGGAAAATACCAGAATACACGATGTGTATTGTAACCGAGGAGTGAGGACATCCCCCAACAAAATGCCTGTCCAGCAATGGATTATTTTTTGTTCCAAAGAAGTAGTATTCTTCAGGAGGAAGGTCGATAATGAAAACTGGATGGTTGTTGGGTTACTTACCACTTACTGAGTTGAAAACAGCCCTTTTCCAAAAATTTAATTAATCAAGCCTGATGCAGATAGAGTGTAAATTCGAGGTAATCTCTGCCTGTAAGGTTCTCCTCTACGTAATTTATTTTTCAAGTATCTTAATTGCTTTCAGAAAGCTACTTTATTCTTGATTAGCTAGTTCATGGAGAGTTTTCAAAGCAAAATATGGAGATAGATGACTAGGAGGTATTTTTCAATTTGATGGTCATAAGATTGGGGCTAAATGATGAGAATCTGCCTGTACACTCTCACACCAAATATCTCTTTAACGGTAAGATCATTCAAGAAAATGGCACTCGAGCCGCGATGAGATGAGTAAAAAACGACACGGATTCTGGGCTATGTAAGGTTCGTTTTCCAAACAGCAAAAATCTGAAAGCATCTGCCTTGAGAACTGACGTCATGTTACCACTGGCCAAATATTCTCCCATCAAATCCGAATTATTTTGATAAATTCCCAGGATTTCTGGATGATTTGACTTCAACCATGTAAAATCAATGGTAAAACCGTCTCCCAGATTCAGATTAGAGTTAGGGGGTTTTAATGGCAAACGTACCTACTTCAAATCTACCAAAGATCTCAGTCTATACAAGTGTTTCGAAGATTTTATGGAACCTCAAGTACCTACTCTGGAGATTAAAGAGAATCTTTAGAAATTCGCTCAATCTCTCAAAAATGTTCCAACTGTTTTTTTTTTTGCAGATTTGCGTCATCCAGAGAAATATGATAATTTAGTAAAGCGTCGGAAGTTTGAAGAAAGGAATGACAGGCTGCTTTACCTTGGAGACTGCAACCAAAAGAGATTTTCATTGTCAAATGTTCCAAATAAATATTTGGAATACTAGTATTTATGAGAGCATCAATTTTTTGCGGGGGTGTAAGGGATGCTATTTGCAAGTTGCAAGGAGTAGATTTCGAAAGTGTACTAATTCTGAGACCCACACGATTAGTGCATACTTCAGACAGAATGACTGCTTCGAAATGGAGGGTTGGATCCAGACTTATGAAGCTTAAGAGTACACTAAGAAAAGTGCTCTCGTTGAAGACCAAGCCGCCAAATACAAGTTTCTTAGTCATTAAGTTTGCCATGCTGTATGTGTCTAGCAATACTTTGACTTTCGGAAAGTCTCCAGAAGCATCCTGAAGCTGTCGAAAGCATGAGTAGTCGACTGAGTCTCTGATATTATTCAAGCGGCGAAGTTAAGCATTGGAAAAGTGAATGGTAAGTAATGCTTTCCATGTTCCTACAGCAATCCTAAATCCAAATTGAGTGAGTTGGGTGCCTTGAAATTCTTAGAAATAGATGTAGACAATGGTTCAAAAGACTCATCGTCAGTTTTCACCCTTCACTGCTAGGCAATAGTTATTTAAACAACAAGTTTTGAAAACGACTTTTTTCGCACGGCGAGACAGTTTGTTGTGGAACTCGCCTACGGCTCGGTCCACAAGTCGAGCAAGTGTGAAAAAAGGTTTTCAAACGAGTTTTTTACAATGCTTTTCCTACAACTGCAAAATAAAACAACCAAATATGTAATTTCCATTTGTTAGAAGCGTGTGAAAAACTTTTTTGCACGCTGAGGAGCGTGTGAAAAACTTTTTCGCACGCTATGCGAAAAACTAATTTCAGAGGTTGCCTAGCGTGCGAAAAACTCCATTTTCAGAGGCAGTCGTAGGAAAAAGCTTTTCTCAAACTCTAAGCACCCAGTTTCCAATGACCAATGAGTCTCTTCATTTCGTCCGTACATGAGTTGGTATTTAGAAAACCAGCCTCCATTAACCTCCAAAACTATTGTATTTTTGACGTCTAATCTATCGACGAAGATCCTGCTCTCAACAACAAATCCCCCCTGTACAAAAATCATCAAGCTCCTACACTCAGCCTGAACTTTCTTACCCCAATACGCCAGCTTTATTGTGGCAACGCGAAACAGTCGTCTCATTTAGTAGTAGACTGGTCGATTGTACGTAGTATTCCCCCCTCGGACAGCGTAGTAGCGTACGTACTACGACAGGCAGCAGCGTACCAAAACTCGATGTCCCTCTCTCGATCCGCGGGGTCTCGTTTGGTTTGTTTTGTCGCGACGACCAATACGAACGAAGCTCTATAAAAGCTCGAGCTGCGTTGAATCGGATCGAACTTTGCGCTTGTTTTGTTTTTGTTTTGGTGGTCGCCTCGCTCTTCGGAAATTGGACTCAGTTTTTCGTTTTTTTTTTTTCTCATCTAGTAGCAGCACCAGTTTAAAGTGTAAGTAGGTACCTACATATATGATCATCCAGTATAATAATATAATTTATGAAATTTGATAGACTGATAAAAAATCCGCTCAATAAAGTCGAACTTTTTTACTCCAAATTTTTGCACATCTAAGACCCAACGTAGGATTTCAGATAGAGCAAAACAAAACTTACAGAAACGTTCCTAACACTCTTAAACAAATTGTAGAAAAATTTTAAACATTTGACTGGTCGTAAGGGAATAGAACATGTAGACAGATTAGTTTCACTCGAGTCTGAACTTCAGAAATGCACAGGGCTTCCATAATAACTTAATTTATACAAATGGATTAAAATTTTTCACAATATCAAAAAAGTGCACTCGGTTCGCTGTCAGCATTAACTTGATCCAAATTGGCTTAGGTACATCAAATGTCTGGTGCCAACTTCAACTAAAATTTAATTCCTCTAGGCCTTAAGCATTTATTTCAGTTTCCTGTTCTCACAGCAAAGTTCATTCAAATTTGCCTTCATTTGAAACACTAAATTCGTCAGAGCATCTGCATTGAATTTTTCAACGTCCACTTTTCGGCGTCTGGAAATATTCTATACCGTTTGAGATATACGATTTGCCAAAAGCCAAAGTAAATATTATTCGTCATCGGACAAAAAGGTGTTCGCAGATTATAAATCACGAGACGACCGGCTCGTTGTTGGTTGGCTTGTTATATCTGGTATAAGATGGCGCATTTATGTATGGATCGAATTGGTAAAGATTTTGAATTTAAAACTCTTTGTGGAATCGCTGAATTTTGTGAAGGTTCAACTGAGAAAGAGAAATCAGATCATCAGAAATTCTTCGAGATATTGAAAAACATTTTGAAAATTATCCAAAAACTACGTAAAGATGTTTTCATCTTTATCTAAATAATGTTTGTAAGCAGCTTGTAGAAGAATAAACATTATACTGATCAGCCAGTAATTCTTTTTATTTTTTCAGGATTTATATCAAGATTTTTCCTTCTTTCGGAGTTTTACAATTCTTGAGTCATTCCATATCTGCCCCTAGTTCGCTCTTATCGATGGGTTCTAATTCTTCTGATGTAATTTTTGCAATTCATCTAGTGAGCTTGGGTACCTATGTCATTTGACTGCTGTTTTTGTGATCCTACAACTCTTTGCTGACAATTTCTTCTTTATTTTCTGATTCTGATGGCTGCTTGGATTAGTTCTTTGTTTTATGCTTTCCTAGCTCTTCTGATAGTCTTTTCACTTCCTTGATTTTATTTGATTTGAAAGGGGAGACTTCACAGGCAGCACATAGACGCACGTGTGACCCAATGTGCTACTCCCCTTTTGGTGCAGCCCTGTCTTACGTTAGGAGTCCGCAACTTTGAATTAAGAAAGGTGCAGATCCGCTCAGGGGGACTTTATTTGAAATTGATACAACTTTGCGTACACGCAAATATGGCACAAATGACGTCATTTTTAATTGAAAAAGTACATGTTAAATAAGCCGCGTGTACCAATTTTCAATCCCAAATGACGTCATTTGCGTGTACGCAAAGTTGCATCAATTTCAAATAAAGGCCCCCAGGTCAGATATACTTTATTTCATCAGGTTCCAGGAACCTGTACCCGAGGCGTCGTAGTCTCTGATTATTACACCATCTTTCAGTCATGTTAACAGCTCTTTGCATGAACCCTTTAATGGTGTTGGGTACCCTACCAACCATAACGATGATAAGATGGTCTGCGTAGCCTTGAATCTTCACTTCCTATGTCTGAGATATTTGGGACCTAATGAATCTGTGTCTGTGCTTGTTTGTTTCTCACTGGGTTGTTTTCTGTCCTAGGCTAAGTCTAGAATTTTTCCATCTTTTTCGCCAATCCAATCATGGTAGGTGAGATAGTAGGATTCTCTTTTCCACCAGACATCTTCCCTCAAATCTAGACTTATTGTGAATTCTGACCCTGACCAGCCTGGTGGTCACTGCCCCTGGTAAAACGATTTAGAACTGACAAATACGATTGTCCGTTTTGAAGATGTATGTAGTATTAATAAGTAAGTATAGGCTTGTGTGACTACTTACCTTAAAATTTGTCTGTGTTTCAATGTAGATAGGTACCTACTAAAGTTCTACTCCAAAACCAATTCCTTTGCTTCAGGTTCAGGCTCATAACCTTTTAGGATTGAAAACAATATTTTGTTAATAACCATCATTACATACAGACGGTATATAAGAACATTCAGATTGAATCCAGGAAGTTGTATCATTCATATGCTTGCCAAAATATTTCGATTCGAGACGAGTTTATATGCAGCTGCTGCTGATGCTAAGATTTTTCGCCAACAAACAGGTAAAATTAGATTGCGCAACTGAAGAACGCAGGGGCGGCTTCTCAATAAGTGCGCTCGTGCGCGCGCACTGCCTCCAAAAACCAAGCAAGAAAATAAAATTAAAATTTTGGAAAGAAAAGAAACTTCAATTAAAAAATACCTACCCAATTTTCTAAATTAGGATAAATATCTACTCATTTTTCTATTTTTAAATTCGCACGAACGGAACGGAAGCGCGCCCTGCGCCTGTCTTGTATATTTTTTTCTCCCGCTTGGTTGTGCTGGTGGTCCGGGT